CATGTATGTAAGGCAACTTTCAGGTCACAAACAGCCTCCATCACGGGCTGCATGTATTTAAGGCAACTTTCAGGTTATAAACAGCCTGCTGGGAATTCCATGGTTGTCAGTTACTTCTACCCATCTCCAGGGACCCAAGATTTGTAAAAATCGAAATCACGAAATTTTACAGTGATGTCAACAGCCTCAGAAATCTGACGTTTCTTTGAATCATCGTACCAACTTCCACTACTACTAACCTTGCACATCTCAACCTCCTCCCCTAAATTAATACCCCMCCCCCCCCCCCCCCCAAAACAAAATAAAATAAAAAATTAACAGCGGTTCTATCGTTAACATCCTCGCCGTACTATTCCGAAGAAAATTGTGCGCGGCACAAGTCGGGGAAAAAAAAAAAAACAAAAAAAACACAAATACTGACGAAACCCCACAAATTCGAAAAAAAAAAAGAAACTCCACAAGTCGACGAGACGGATGTACTGTTCCCAACAAAATATTGGAACCAGTCGAGGGGAAAAAAAAATAAAAAAAAATTACATCGGGTGGTTCTCGACTTGTGGGTGTTTTTTTCCCCCTCTTTTTCATTTTTGACTTGTAGGGGTTTCTTCACTGGGGTAAATGTGAAACATGCAAGTGACGAATAAAAACATAAATAATACGTATTAACTCTAAGAATGGGGAGTGAATCTTGCCACCTTCTGCGTCACGATACATTCGGCGAGCGGTGGAACGTGACCCTTCCTTACAGACAATGGCACGCGAATAGAACGCCCAGTCCATTATAGCTGTATATAGCACATCTTTCAGTCTGGATACAGCGATCATGACTGGGCGTTCTATTCGAGTGAAAAAAAAAAAGGTAGTAGCTCAGGTCTTGCACCTAAGTCTATACGATAGGCAAATGAACCTGGTCACAATACGAAGACTAGTGTCCCCTCCTCTCTTTTGAATCGCGTCTCAATCCTTCCTCTCCTCTCTTATTAACACGAAAGCAGAGTACTCCGTGTGAAACTAGACCAAAAAAAAAAAAAAAAAAAAAAAAAGAAGAAGAAGTAAAGTCAGGATCCCGTTCTCGACCGAATATTCGCAATGAATTGATGAAGGGCTAGGCTACCAGCCGGGCCGCCCGGGTCCCGGGTGGCCAGCCCGTGCAAGGACAAGGGAGGGTCCCAGCAAAAAAAAAAAAAATCCAAAAAATCCGAAAAAAAAACTATGTTATGAAGAAAAATAAACTGAACAACTTTTGCCTCAGGGTCACATCAAAATTCTTTACCAAATTTAAAATATAAAATAAAAATATAAAATATTTTTTATTTTATTTTATTTTTAGATCTTTTTGGCCCGGCCGGGCAAGTGACCCCGGGCCACTCTGGTAGCCTAGATGAAGGGTGTTTTTTTTTTGTTTTTTTGTTTTTTTAAAGGCAGCGCGTTAGCCTGTGAAAGGTAGTCGTGGTTCAAGGCAGAACCTTCTGTGGGAAACGAGAACAAAGTTAAAACACAACAATGCACAAAAGGCGCGCGAAAGGTCTTCTGGGTCGAGGTCCCACTAGCAAAGAGGATTGGGTCGAATGTCTGAATCTGGACGTGTCTGTGGAAAGGTGCGGACAATCGAGATTGAACTGCTTTTCTGCACCTCTGCCTGAAACGCGTCCAGATTCAGGGGCTTAATGATCCAATCCTCCTCGCTAGTGGGACCTCGCCCCCGGTCACGCAAGCAAGGAGACACTCATTCCTGAATCTACTGTCTTTTCAAGTCCATTCTTTTATTCATTGGTCTTTTTTTTTGGGTTCTACTTTCAGGTGTCCAAGAGCCAATTCCATCAGCCCCTTTTTTTTACTTTTTTCCATCAGCCCCTTTTTTTTTCTTTTTTCTTTTACAAGAGTAAGCTACATTCGTCTCTTTTCTTCGTTTCTCTCCCAATTCCCCTTCAATTAATCCCCAACCTCCCACAACCCCTAAAACTATATAGATACAGGGGACCCCTGCAAGCATATCTACCCTCGAGATGATGGGATTGCATGTATGGGTCCCCTGTATAACCTTAGGCTTAGGGGTAGTGATCCGTAGGTCATTAATGAAAGATCAGTTCAGAGAAGAACAACGTAGTAATAATAAGCAAGGTAGAAATAATAAGCAAGGTCGATATAATAAGCCCCTTTTACCCCAGTGGTTTGGTTGTGTTTTGTTTGACGGCGCGAGTAATGCCCTTTCTTATTCAATAGTAAGATACAAGAATTCAATAATAACATACAAGAGACACAGAGAGAGAGAGAGAGAGAATGCGTCATTCAGTTCTGGCCTACACACTCCAGTTACGCGCTGGGGACGGAGGGTGAGGGGAACATGAAAAGGAGGTGCAGCGAAGAAGTGATTGGGGGCGCAAACAACATCAGAGAAGTCTGTCTCATTCGCCGACAAATTAAACTAATCTTTTTTATTATTATTTATTATGCTGTCATCATACTTTGAACACATACTCGACCTAACAAGAATTATAGCCTTATAAAAATAAAAAAAAGAGTAAAAAGAGTTAAAAACAAAAAACAACAAGTATAGCCGACCTTGGGGGAAAAGAAACAATTGAAGAGAGATCGAATTGGACACAATATTTGTATGTCCTTCCCTTCTCCTTTTCGTTTTCCTTCCCTTTCTCTTTTTCCTCTCCTTCTTTTCCCCCCCTTCTCTTTTTCTTTCTTTTCGTTTTTCTTTTTTTTATTCTTTTCTTTCTTTCTTTATTCTTTTTCTATTCTTTTCCTTTCTCTTTTTCCTTTGCCCCCTTTTTCTTTTTCTTTCTTTTCGTTTTTTTTTTTTTCTTTTTCTTTCTTTCTTTTTTCTTTTTCTTTCTTTTCCTTTGCTTTCCGCCCCCCCTTTTTTAGTTTTTCTTTCTTTTTTTTTTCTGTTTTTTTCTTTTCTTTTTTTTTTTTCTTTCTTTTTCTTTTCTTTTTCTTATCTTTCAACCGCCTTCACACTTTATCAAAGTTAGTTTCTCTTTTTTTTTTTCTGTTTTTTTCTTTTCTTTTCTTTTTTTCTTTCTTTTTCTTTTCTTTTTCTTTTCTTTCCCTCGAGCAGACAATCTTTCAACCGCCTTCACACTTTATCAACCTTAGTTTCTCTGAATGTCCCTTTTTCTGGTTTGGTGTTTTTTTTTTTTTCTAACTTCTATTTCTTTTTCCCAAACATATCAACAACAATCCTACATGCCAATCCCCATGGTATTGTGCGCATTTCGCATATTCTCTTTTCTTTGTCGCTTCTGCAAAAAAAATATTTTTTGCCATGTCTTCTGTAAACTACACACGCCGGAGTCTGTCTTTTTATAAATAAAATAAATTTAAAAATCCGGCAATTCTCCTTTCACTCAGTTGGTACACCCACGAACTGTTGAAATATGAATCAGACCCAAGTTCGAGTCCAGATACAATCAGATTGACCAGACAAAAATCAACTATGAGTTACCTGGGGTCGGTCAGATCAATGACGATATCTCAAGCCCGTTGTACTTGGGGGGGGGGGGGGGGGAGGGAACTCAAAGTTATGGGTTTTCCTCTTCCGAGCGCTGGCAAATACAAAGACTAACCTGTGTGGGCGGCATTTTTTTCATTTAAGTTCATTTAATATATCTTGACGAAAAATCGTCCTTCCCTTTTCATCTACTATTCATTACTTTCGAAAAGAAGTCGTATAAAAAATATAAAAAATAATTAAAAAAAAAAGAAGTACTCTTTCAGCGTTGACTGATGTATCAGGGCCTATTTGGGTGAAAATACGTAGGTACACCCTGAAGGCCAACCCCGAGCCCAATTTAGCAAAAGCCCTTTCAGGGGACATCTGGGTATTGGACAGAAGAGTATAGAGACAAATACAGTTATAATAGCCATTAGCCATCTGGGTATCGAATTGAACCGTTCCTCTCTACTACACCTCTCACCATTCTCCAGGATTTTATTTTTACCAGATCGAAAAAAGAAAAAAGAAAAAAAAAAGTGGTCCCCACTTGGCAGGGAAAGCCAAAAGGACGAGCTGATAGTAGGCCCACCATGAGACACACCGACAACGAGCGGAGAGGAGGCATGACATTTTGCCCAGCAGCTACCCAATCTCTGATTTTGCCGAGCCATCAGTTACGCAGCTCAGCGATTCAGTCTGGACTCGCTTGGAGGATGTCAACAACTCAACCCCCTCAACCCCCTCCACAGTCCGCAGAATCCCCTACCTCACTGATTACACTAAGTAATAATCCACCTTAACCCCAGTTGTGGTTAAGCATCAACGACTGCCCGACAAACTGATATAAACAGATATATAACCCCAGTTGTGGTTAAGCATCAACGACTGCCCGACTAACTGATATAAACAGATATATACATCCACGTGGGCGGCCTTGTACGCAAGAGGTTTTGAACAGGGGGAGTTGTAAGAAAGAGGGAAAAAAACGAATTATGTTCTTCTTGTTTTCTTCTGTTTTTTCGCCTTTGCACACTGATATTCATGTGCCTATATATTGTCACATTGTAAATCAGAGCGCGAAGGCGGAAAAAAAACACGGAGAGGAAAAGAAGGAAGGAAGGAAAGCCCCACCTGTTCATCTCCTCTTACGTACAAGGCCAGCCACGTGGATGACAGGTTGAGCGCTGGCTGCCCCCATCCCCGTGTGTCACAAGGACCCACTTGCACGCAGCCAAAAGGCAAAAAAGAGGTAAAGAAAAGGAGGAGGAAACCAAACCTCACAGAAGAAGAAAGCCTATTAAACAGACAAAGCAAGTGACACATCCCACAGATAATCCAATTACCATCCCACAGAATGTTTTTCTTTTCTTTCTTTTCTTTTTTTCAGGTTTCTTTTTTCGTGTTTTTCCTTGGTTTCTTTTTTTATCTTTTATACATATCGTCATACAACTGCCCGGTCAACCGTCGGCAGAGAGGGATATTATGATAAATATATATTGTAGAACGGCACAATAAAAGCACAGGTCAAGAGGTCCTCCGCGTGGCACCTTACCTCTCAAGTCGATGGCCAACCCCCCGCCAGAGCTGCCAGATCCATTGGCAGACGCGACGGGTGTCACTGCTGCCGCTGCATGATGCGACGTCCGCTTGCTGGAGGGGAGCGCGGAAGCTGCCGAGGCTGCGGAGCGGAGAGCTGCGGAAGACAGCGGCGTGAAGAAATCCGACGTGGCAAGGCGGGATCGAGCCGCCGAGTTGGGGAGGCGCTTCAAGGCGGACTCGCCGAGAGCGCGGCAGGACATAGCCAGAGCCCGCGCAGCCTTGGCCCCACCTTCTCTGGCGGAGACACGTGCGGCCGACGAGACCGCTGGTCCCGACACCGCCGCCGTAGCCGCGGCATTGGACAGAGACGCGCACGCCATTGCAGAGGACGAAGAGCAGGTGATCCGACCAGGCACCACGTGACCACTGACAGCTAGCACCGCCAATCACGATCACGACGATGAAGATCGTCCGAAGGCCACGTGTCCGCCGATGACGTAATCCCCGGCGTGGGACAGGCGGAGACAGTGGCAGGAAGAAGTGACAAGTGTTCAATGCACCCCACACATCCCTGCTCTTCACTTCCCCTACTGGTAGCCAGCCACTCTCACCTCCGCCCCGAGGTCTTCGTCGTGATGCTATTATGAAGTGAAGATTTCATACAGACCGGCCGCTCCATACGGATAAGCGAACACAATGTGCGGGACGGGATTTGGCGCGCAAAGCAGCAGGTAGGGGGAAGTTAGCACTGTCGCAGCGTCCGAGCGCGGCCCACCGCTACCTACAAGCCGGGGCGAGCGCGGGCTTCCGCGGCGCGCGGGGTGTCGGCGTCCCCGAGAACCTGCGACAGGGGAGGAGAGGGGACGCCCGGCGGGGGAGGTTCGGTTGCAACTCGTGGCTGCGACGGGAGGGACAGCAGGAAAAAGAGCGCCTGTCTGCTGGCGGGGGCTAGGTCCCACTTTCACGAATTAAGCGATATTGACCGTAGATGGCAAAGATCAACGGCCAGAAAGAATCTCTTAATCCGTGCAAGTGGGACCTTGCCCCCCGGGGGTTAGGTCAGTTACATTACACTGAGCGACGCGTCATATGGATCTTCCAGTTCCACTTCATTGGCGGGAAAACAGAAAGTCGGTAAGGGGGACATTCAACGAAACTCCTCCCGCCTTAACTGCCTCCTGCAGGGAACGAACTGAGCGGGGGAAGCCGGCGGTGGGTCGCCTAACGAGCTTTTCCTACCTCATTCCCCCAAATACAACGTTCGGTCATTATAGCTGTGTTTAGACAGAAAGGTAACCCGAATACAGGTCATTATAGCTTTAATGACCGAAAGATTAGCCAAATACAGCTATAATGACCGAACGTTGTGTTCGGGGGAAGAAGGAAGCTGACCTGAGTTTGAAGTCCAGTGTCGGATTGCACGAGGGGAAACGAACTCTAGATTTGTCCGGGGGTTAGGTCCCACTTAGGGCCTCGCCGGACGGTGCAAAAAACAAAACGAAACGACCTTGAAACTCGCGAGGCCGAAAATCACCGTTTCGTTTCGTTTGTTACACCACCCCCGCACGCCGCGAAATCACTCGCGGAAACGGCCTGACGAGTGTTGAGGTGCCTTACTTTCGCAAATGCTAATTTTTTTTTGGACCGACGTGCTGCATCCCTTGGACCGACTTGCTGCACTCGCGTGGATTCGCAGCTCCACCAGCAGACCTTCGGAGGACCTACGACTTTTCGCGAGTTGCAGGCGGGCATGGAAGGGGCACGTGCGGAGGCTTGCAAACTGCAAATCTGACACACTTCACGACTTCCTCCTGACAGTTTTCGTTTCTTGACTGTGCGGCGAAACGTTCACGAAACGAATTAGTTTTTTTCTCATTTCGTGTACC